ACCCTCACCTTGCCTAGTTCATTCATCCTTCATTCTTTCACATGAGGCTCCCCGTAGCGTTCGATCCCAGCGCGAAAGGATCTGGCGTTCGACGATTCGTGGCGACCCTCGAAATCTATTTCGATGCCATTGGCTGTTCGACCCCGACATACGACGGATCACGGATTCGGCTCGCAGCGACACTGTTACGTGGACGGGCATTAGAGTGGATTTACTACACTGACGTGGCCCGCGGGGAGAAAACGTGGCAGCAGTTTCGGGCAGATCTCATCGAACGTTTTGAGCCAATTACTACGACCTACATGGCGCGGCAGTAGATACACCATCACAAACACTACAGTAGTGTAGCACAGTATACGCAGCAGATGGAGCTACTGTTCAACCGCATCACGGACCTGACCGAAGGCGAAAAAATCCAGGCGTACACGGAAGGGTTAAAATTGGAGATTCGCCGACAGGTCATCGCAGCGAATTACAACAGTTACCACGACATCGTGCGTCCTGCCGAACGATACGACGCATAGACTCGAGGTCAACCCGAAACATGACGTTTCGCGCCGAACCGTACATTCGGCACGGAGCGATCGGCACCCCCCACGTTCGCCGAACCGATGCACATCGACAAATACGACGCGAAGTAGAAGCCGACAAAATGCGAATTTTGCGGCGCAGCAGGGCATCAAATTTTGTCGTGCTACAAGATGAAAAAGGCACATGCGGCACTGCAGGGCGGTAACAGTGGAGCACCCCCGAAGTAAAAAAACGGGAATCGCCAGTAGCCGCGGATCGACCTGGCGATCGCGTAAAGATTCGAAAAGCAGAAAAAGGCGACGACGTGGCGACTTCGGAGCGGGTGAAAAAACGAGAAAATTATGACGCGAATATCAAACGTCACGACCAGCTGGCACCAGGGGAAATCGCCGAGGAGAATGGAGGCTCCGCGAAAAAAGACTTTGCATCGACCGGGAAACTCCATCCGAACACCCACGAAAGTAAGAATTCGTTGAAAGTATCCCTTAAAGATTTAGAGGAGAAATTCAGGGGAGATTTAGAGGCCAAGAAAAAGACTTTAGAGATTATTCAGGTACCTGAGAAGTTGGGCAAAGTACTACGGAGCGTAAAAAAGGGTCGTGCATTTTGTGTCAATATTCTCTCCCCGCAGCCCAGTGTTAAGGCTCCCCGTTGCCCACATGTGAAGCCTACACAGCTGCAAAGGCTTAGAGGAAAATTCCAGGCTCCTGAGAAGTTGTACAAGCCTCGGAAAAATCTCCTACCCCCCAGGTGAAGTTGGAAGAGAAAAGTGCTGAGTCAGGTATAGGAAATAGGGATGGTATTCATTTTGATGTACCCTATGATCCTATAAATGAGACCCTCTTTGGTTACTCAGCGCAGTAGGCACCACTACTCATCGAGGTGTTATGCAAAGGACGACGCCTCCAGGCACTGGTGGACAGGGGTGCATCTCACTCAGTGTGTGACCGCGGGACGTTGGAGAAAACTGGGGAACCTTCCTAGGAGACCAAGTTCTCGGCAACGATGGTGGATGGTACGAAACTTCCCATCCACGGCGAAGCATCACTGTAGCTGCATATAGGGGCGCTAAGGTGGAAGCCGACGTTGCCGATCATGAACATCAAGGGTTTAGATTTCATCTTGGGGCGAGATTTCTTGAAGCGGTTCAACCCCGAGATCGATTGGGTCAACAGTAAGGTGCACATCTACAACAACGGGAAGCGGATAGCACTACGAAGCTGGACAGATACAGGGAGCGTTCCTGAAACTACACTGGCACGGTTCGAATGGACGGTGAACGAGAGTAACACGGGTTACTTAGCACTGGTTATGGCAGCAGCAGAGGAGGAGAAGGCGAGTTCGGAGCTACCTGCAGCAGTGAAGGAGGTCTTGGAGCAGTACAAGGATATAATGCCCGACGACCTACCCGCAGGCGTACCTCCGGCACGCACCCACGAGCACGAGATCGTGGAGGAACCAGGTGCGAAACCCGTCTCACGTGCACCATACCGACTGAGTCCGACCGAACTGACAGACATGAAGAAACAGATTGAATATCTACTGGACAGACAACTGATCCGCCCATCCACCTCTCCCTACGGTGCACCAGTTCTCTTCACTCCAAAACCAGACGGCAGTTTACGGATGTGCATCGACTACCGCGCACTGAACAAACAGACAGTTAAAAACAAATACCCCATACCGCGCATCGACGACCTTCTAGATCAACTGCGTGGTGCAAAAGTCTTTTCGAAGCTGGACCTACGGTCGGGTTACCGGCAGATCAAGATGGCGGACAACTCGATCCACAAGATGGCGTTCCGTACCAGATACGGCTCCTACAAATACTTGGTGATGCCGTTCGGACTCTGCAACGAACCAGCAACATTTTAGGCAGAGATGAACCACATCCTACGGCCCTTGCTGGACGAGTGCGTACTAGTGTACCTGGACGATATCCTCATCTACTCCAAGAACATGAAGGAGCACGTGGAGCATCTGCGGAAGGTGTTCAAGATCCTGCGGAAAAACAAGTTCTACGTGAAGCTGTCGAATAGCGACTTCGCCCTGAAGAAGGTGCAATTTCTTGGGCACATGGTGAGTGCCGAGGGCGTACACGTGGACCCGCGGAAGATCGAAGCCGTCAAGAAGTGGAAAGTACCGAAGAACGTGAAGGAGTTGCAGCAGTTCCTAGGCTTTGCCAACTTCTACAACAGGTTCGTGCCGCAGTACGCTAAGATAGCAGTGCCACTGACCGACCTACTGAAAAAAGGATACGCCCTACAAATGGGATACTCCTCACCAGGAAGCCATGGAGCAGCTACAGACAGCACTGACCACAACCCCAGTACTCATCTTACCGGATCCAGACAAGGACTACGTGGTGGAAGCAGACGCTAGTGACCAAGCAGTCGGAGCAGTACTGATGCAGGATCACGGACGCGGTTTGCAGCCCATTGCTTATCTCATTAAGAAGCTACACGGAGCAGAACTGAACTACCCCATCCATGACAAGGAAGCCTTAGCGATAGTCATAGCCTTCAAAGCGTGGAGATGTTACCTAGAGGGAGCCAAGACTACAGTTTATACTGACCACTGTAGCCTCAAATACCTGAAGTCGCAGCCGACGCTCTCGCGACGACAAGTGCGGTGGGTGGACTTCCTGGAAACTCACTTCTACTACGACATTGTCTACAAGCCCGGGCTACACAACAAGGGAGACACGTTGAGCCGCCCCGGTCATGTAGCAGGCATCCAGCTCGACGAGATGAACCCTCTGCTCGAGGGTCTATTCCAACATGGATACTCCATGGACGCAGAGATCACTACAGCACAGACTAAGAAGCTGTTACAGTGGGAGAAAGACTTAGCTGTAAGGAAGGGTTCAGGAAAGATTTGGGTACCGAATTATGCCCCGCTACGGCAGATCCTATTGGAGGAGTTTCACGACGTACTTTACGCGGGAATAGCAAACGCACGCTGTGCTCTCAAGGATTATCTTGTCAAGCAGGGTGTTTCTCGCGCCACCCAGCTTTGAGGGGGGGGCGTGTGAGAGTAAGATGGCTTATGCTGGCTTTGCTAGCTTGCCTGGACTTTATTATGCTATTACTAGCTTAGGTTTTATTTATCATGCATAGCTATGCTTGGTTTCATAGGTTAGGTGCATTCCTATATTTTATTATAGTTATAGCACCGAACCAGGTTACGTGTACCGAACTCAAGCCTATTCGGTTTCCACCAAATTGCTTTCTACTGAGTTCGGGAAGGTTCTGTTCGGGGCGCTTTGCGACCCTCAGAATATTCGCGTAACACCCCGGTTACCTGCCTTGTGTCGAGACTATATATAGCCTCGTGTTGTACCCAGGTGAATCATTCAATTACAAACTCTCTTTTCTGAGCTCGATCCTAGATCCTCACACAGCTGCTTCTGGCTGTCAAATGGCAGGTCCAACGAGTTAGCACCCCACTATTCCAGCACTTCATATTGCTTAGGGAAGGCAACGACAAAATGGGGCAACGACAAAATGGGGCAACGACCAGCTGTATAGTGGGAGAACCCTGACAGGAGGCTTTCGGGTTGGTTGGTGCATGCGATGAAAGCACTGCGAAAGTCGGATGCTAGGTGGAGAGGGCTGGTTCGTGCTAACAGGACACCTACTCGTGGTGGTGCTGGTTGCACCTCCTTCGTCAACCACCACACCAGCCTCATCCACTTCAAACAGCTCATTCACTCTACCGAGAAGCCCACGCCGACGTTTCAACAGAAGACGCTCACTGCATGATGGGACACATCAAAGACCGTGGTTAGATACACGCAAAGCACAATGAGAAGGGGTGTGTGAGGGTGCAACCCACCTGGGAGAGAGACGTCGCCGAGATGTGCGATGGATTGTGGGACGTGCATTGATGCCATGGTGCGGGGCTGAGGGGCCACGCACACCTGCAGATGGGAATGATGCAGGGATACAGCGGGGAAAGGGCCATGCTTTTATGTTGCCGTGGGATTGAATTGGTGGGAAAGGTGATTGCTTATATGTGGCTGTAGGGTTGATACAGCTGGGGAAGGGTAGAGCTAATATGTGGATGTCGGGTTGATACAGAGGGGGGGTGTTGAGTGCTGATACGGGGTTGTGGGTTTCATACAACGGGGGAAGGGAGAGTGCTAATCTGGTCTAGTGCGATTGGGACAGGGGAGGGGGGGGGGTAGGGGAGTGATCATGTTAAGGGCAGCGGGGGTGATGTCGTGGGAAAGGGGAGTGATACCTGACTGGAATACTTCATCTTATTTGACGACTGCGCACACGCTTTCGATACGCAAAAGTGGCGTGCTAGCGAAGGGGATGGAGAGCAATAGCGTGGGGGAACGGGCAGGCTAGCGAGGGTGACTGTGAAGGGTTGTTCAAGTGACTATGAAGGGGAGAGATAGCGATACGGAAGGGGAGTGCTTTCGATGGGGAGGGAGAGATAGAGACTGAATTAGGGGAGCACTAAAGACGCAGAAGGGGAGATGTATGTTGGGGCCAAAGGTCGTTCAAGCGAGTGTGAAGGGGAGAGATAGCAAAGGGAATGGGAGTGCGAGCGATGGGGAAGGGGAGAGCAGGCGATGGGGAAGGGAAATGATAGGAGGCGGGGGAAGGGTCGTGCGTGCGGCCGTGAAGAGGAGAGATAGCATGCGGGAAGTAGGGGAGAACGCGACGAGGAGGAGGAGTGCTCGCGAGGAGGAAGGGGGGAGTTAGCGACGGGGAAGGGGAGTGAGAGTGACGGTGAGGGAGTGATAGCGACGGGGGAGGGGAGTGCAAGCGGTGGGGAAAGGGAGAGCTATCGAGGGGGAAAGGGAGAGATAGAGACGCGAAAAAAAGAGTCTTTGCGAAGGGGAAGGGGAGGGCGTGCGAAGGGGATTGCAACGGGCACGCTAGCGAGGGGGAAGGGGAGAGACCGGAACGAGGAAGGGGAGTGATAGTGACGGGGGAAGGGGAGGGCGCGCATGGGGGCGGAACGTGCACGCGAGCGAGGGCGAAGGGGAGTGAACGCGACAGCGAAGGGGAGTGACAGTGACGGGGATGGGGACTGATAGTGACGGGGAGGGAGTGACAGTGACGGGGGAGGGGAGTGATAGCGGTGGGGAAAGGGAGAGCTATCGTGGGCGGAAGGGAGAGATAGCGACATGGAAGGGGAGTCTTTGCGAAGGAAAAGGGAGGGCGTGCAAAGGGGATTGCAACGGGCTCGCTAGCGAGGGGGAAGGGGAGAGACCGCGATGAGGAAGGGGAGTGATAGTGACGGGGGAAAGGGAGGGCGCGCATGGGGGGGGAACGTGCACGCGAGCGAGGGGGAAGGGGAGGGAACGCAACAGCGAAGGGGAGTGATAGTGACGGGGAAGGGGAATGGTCGCGAGGGGGAAGGGGAGTGATAGTAGCGGGGAGGGAATGATAGCGACGGGGGAGGGGTGTGCTAGCGGTGGGGAAAGGGAGAGCTATCGAGGGGGAAAGGGAGAGATAGCGACGCGAAAAAAGGAGTCTTTGCGGAAGGGGAGGAGGAGGGCGTGCAAAGGGGATTGCAATGGGCACGCTAGCGAGGGGGAAGGGGAGAGACTGGGACGAGGAAGGGGAGTGATAGTGACGGGGGAAGGGGAATGAACGCGACAACGAAGGGGAGTGACAGTGACGGGGAAGGGGAATGATAGTGATGGGGAGGGAGTAACAGTGACGGGGGAGGGGAGTGATAGCGGTGGGGAAAGGGAGAGCTATTGTGGGCGGAAGGGAGAGATAGCAACGCGGAAGTGGGGTCTTTGCTAAGGGGAAGGGGAAGGCTCGGGACGGGGATTGCAACGGGCACGCTAGCGAGGGGGAAGGGGAGAGAGCGCGTCGAGGAAGGGGAGTGATAGTGACGGGGGAAGGGGAGGGCGCGCATGGGGGTTGGACGTGCACACGAGCGAGGGGGGAGGGGAGGGAACGCGACAACGAAGGGGAGTGACAGTGACGGGGAAGGGGAGTGATAGTGACGGGGAGGGAGTGATAGCGACGGGGGAGGGGTGTGCTAGCGGTGGGGGAAGCGGGTCCTCATCGATGGGGAAGGGGAGTGATACGCGATTGGAGAGGGAGTGCTTGCGACGTGGAAGGGGAGTGATAGGCGATGGGGAAGGGGAGTGCGTGTGACGGGGAAGGGTGACGATAGCGACGGGATCGGGGATTGCAAGCGACCATTGAGGGGTGTGCTAGTGACAGGAAAGGGAGAGATAGTGACGGGGAAGGGGAGTGCTCACCGAGGGGAAGTGGAGGGCACGTGTGGGGGGGAACGGGCACGCTAATAAGGGGGAAGGGGGGAGAACGCGACGAAGAGGGGGAGTGCTCGCGAGGGGGAACGAGGGATATAGCAACGAGGAAGGGCAGTGATAGTGACAGGGAGCGAGTGATAACGACGGGGGAGGGGAGTGCAAGCGGTGGGGAAAGGGAGAGCTATCGAGGGGGAAAGTGAGAGATAGCAACGTGGAAGGGGAGTCTTTGCGAAGGGGAAGGGGAGGGCGTGCTCAGGGGATTGCAACGGGCCTAATAGCGAGGGGGAGGGGGAGACAACGCGACGAGGAAGGGGAGTGATAGTGACGGGGAAGGGGAATGGTCGCTAGGGGGACGGGGAGTGTTAGTTACGGGGAGGGAGTGTTAGAGACGGGGGAGGGCAGTGCGAGCGGTGGGGGGAGCGGGTCCCCATAGATGGGGAAGGGGAGTGATACGCGATTGGAGAGGGAGTGCTTGTGACTTGGAAGCGGAGTGATAGGAAGTAGGGGGGGAGTGAACGCGACAGGGAAGGGGAGTGATAGTGTGGGGCGAGGGGAGAGAGAGAGACGGGGTAGGGGACCGCGGGCGACAAGGAAGGGGAGTGCTCGTGAGGGGGAGGAGCTGGGCGCGCGTGGGGGGAAACGAGCGCGCTAGCGAGGGGGAAGGGGAGAGAAAGCGACGGGGGAGGGGTGTGATTGCGTGGGGAAGGGGGAGTTGCGACTGTGGGGAAGCGCGGTGGGCGACGGTGCGGAATAAGAGAGTGAGACCGGGGGATTACGATGATAGCGACCGTGGGGATGGGGCCGCGATACCGTCGAGGCCAATGCGAAGGACACAGTGGGGGAGATGGGTGTGATACTGTGTGCGATTCACGCACATTGTTTTACTCACGTGCGGTTTCCATGGTGCCATGATCCGCAACAGCATCGGAGGAATCCGCCTTTCCACTTGCGACGTGCCCATTATCCGTTTGGTCCAACATTGGTGATCTAGTACCTGGATGTGAGTGGTGCTTTTCTCTTGCGAATGAGCAGGAATGACGGCCTTCTACTCTAAACGTTGTAGGGCTGGTGTGGATGATGTTGTGCTGGAGGGGAATGGAAACTCTTGAAATTGTGTATTTTGTTTCCGTCGTCTGGGTTTGTTGCAGGGAGTGTCAAACCTGACGAGGTTGTTTGCAAAAGGTTGGGTGTGTCCCTAGGTTAGGGCGGTAGGTTTGGTGTTGAGGGTACAATGTACAAGTTTCGCCCAAAACACCCCACCTCCCGTGCAGAATTTCGCTGCTCGTGCACCAATCCCAGGTTTTCACTAGCAACCAAGTGTAATACGGTTGTAATCTTGAGATACGGGTTTTAAGGAAAATAAGAAAGAAACAAGTTATCGCAAGCGTAACCTAACCCTAGGAAAACATAAAGTACACCTAGACTAACACAAAAAAGCTATAACAAATATAGCTTGACAGGTTGCTGCGTCTTGCTCCGGTCGGTCCCTCACCCACCCGACCGTCTTGTGGCACCACCGTCTTGATCACCCGTCAATTCCCGCCTCGCAGCATGGCTAGTCACTGTCTTGTCTCAGGTCTCCCGCGCGTCTTTGTGTCGCTCCCTCCCTTGCATGCACCGCCGTGCACTCCTTGCGTCACCGGCCGCCTGCGCGCCACCCCGCACTCCTCCTCCCTTCGTCCGACCACTGCTCCCTTCGACTCCACTTGGACGTCTGGGCACAGCCCCTACGCAGAGACATGAGGGAGAGCGCTAATTTATGGTGGTCGTCGACGACTACTCCAAGTACACCACGGTGTTTCCTCTCGCAAAGAAGTCCGAGGTGACTTCTACGCCGATCGGGTGGCTTCTGACCACTGAGGGCAATCGTGGCAGTCGTGTCTCCTGTCTCCACTCCGACCGTGGGGGCGAGTTTCGCTCCGGCATTCTTCGCGGATTCTGCAGCGAACAGGGCATCTCACAGTACTGAAAGCTTCCGGGATCCCCACAACAGAATGGGGTTGCCGAGCGCCGCATTGGCTTGGTCATGGACATCGCCCGCACGTCCATGATCCATGCCCGTGCGCCCCATTTTCTGTGGCCCGACGCGGTTCGCTACGCCGCCCACCAGCTGAACCTCCAGCCGCGTGTCTCGCGGCCAGAGGCTTCACCGACCACTGTTTAGACCGGTTCCCCTGATGTTGGGTCGGCCTTTCGTATCTGGGGCTGCCTTGCGCTTGTCCGCGACACCTCTGCGGACAAGCCCTCAGCTCGCGCCATCCCCTGTGTCTTCCTTGGTTTCCCGCTGGACTCTCCGGACTACGCCTTTTACCACCCGCCCCTCCGCCAGTTCCTAGACTCCCGTGACGTCTGGTTTGATGAGTCTGTGTCCTACTACGCTCGCTACCCCTGTCGAGGTCTCCCGGTTCCCCCTCCTCCCTTTTTTCTCACACCTTCTCCTCCTCCTGCTCCCGCTCCTCCGGTACCCCCGCCCCCCCTGGTCCTGCTCTGTCAGGTGTGTCTCATGCTACCCCTCTACCCTCGGTCACGCGTCAGGTAGCGTCTCCCTCTCTGCAGTCCTCCTCGTAGTTCCCTCAACAGCCTTCGGCACTTCCGCGACAGGTTACTGTGGACTCCGGGGGTGTTGGAACTGGAGGTGCTGCTGCTGGAGGTACTCGTTCTGGGGGTGCTCTTGTGAGGGGTGCTGGAGCTGGAGGTGCTAGCACTGGAGGTGCTAGTTCGGGGGGTGCTGGAGCTGGAGGTGCTGGCGCTGGAGGTGCTAGTTCTGGGGGTATTGGAGCAGGAGATACTGGCACTGGAGGTGCTAGTTCCGAGGAGACTGGAGCTCGAGGCACTACTACTGCGCCTCCCCACCCCCACGACACACGTCTCCAGGCGGCTCGCCGACGTGAGCGTGAGGAGCAGGCGGTTGGAGCAGGAGAGGCCGGAGCTGCGACAGTAGGACCTGCAGGAGCAGCAGGAGCAAGAGCAGCAGCAGCAGCAGCGTTCGCCGCAGCCGCCACTTTTGCAGCAACTGTTCCCACGAGTGAGTGTCCTTCGGGCCCTTGGTCTTCCCTCCGCTCCTCCTGTCCACTCACAGTCTCCTACTGCGTACGGCCCTACGTTTCCTCCTCCGGATTCGGCTCCGGCTGTTTTCTCCCCTCCTCAGTCATAGTCGCCTCCTCCTGTTCTCCCGAATGACTGGACCACTCGTTGTCCTCCGCGTATTTGTCCCTCGTCTCCTTTTGACGACCTCTGCACTGGCTTGTTTTGTTCTAGTCCTTGTCGTGTTCCGCCTGTGTCTGTTCTCCCGCCACCTCCTGCGTCGTCTCTTACTGTCTCCTCTCACCCTATCACTCACTACTACTGTGGTGCTCGTCCTGTTGTTTCGCGTGTTCTCGCCTCTCGTATGACCGACCCTCATGCCTCTCTGTCGTCTGTCTCAGCTCTTACTGCCGCTGTCGCTGACTTTGCTTCCACCCGCCGTCTTGACTTCGCCATGCGTGTAGTGGCTGCTCCACCTGCCCGTCCTCTGTTCGCCGGGGGTGAGTTTGCCCTTGGCTGTGACGTCCTAGAGGACAGGCAGTTTGAGCTAGCGTTCTTGGCAGCCGCTTCCCCCTCTCTCTGTGCCATGCTGCTTTCCCCTAAGGGAGACCCCGACGCCGTTGACATACCAACTCCTCGCACGTACCATGAGGCAGTGTCAGAGGAGTGGGCCTCTCACTCAGTGGAAAGCGGCTATGGACTCAGGATTTGCGTCTTGGAGATCCAGAGGCACCTACGTTGACGCAGTTCCCCCTCCCATGGCGAATGGTGTCGATGGCTTGTGGCTCTTCAAGGCGAAGCGGCCGCCTGGATCACCGCATGCGTTCAAGGCGCGCTACGTGGCTAGGGGTTTCTGTCAGCGTGAGGTAGTTGACTTCTTCCAGACCTTTGCCCCGACTACGAAGATGACTACTCTTTGGATGTTAATGCACTTAGCAGCACAGCGAGACTACAAGCTGCACTCCCTCAACTTCTCCACTGCGCTTCTCCAGGGCCACCTATATGAGGAGATCTGGCTGCGGCGTCCTCTTGGCTTCATTGACACCTTCCCACCCCGGACCCAGTGGAGCTTGACGCGACCAGTCTACGGTCTCCGCCAGTCGCCCCGTGAGTGGCACGATACTCTTCGCTCCACGCTTCGTGACCCTGGGTTTTGTCCTTCTTCTGCCGACACATCGCTGTTTGTTCGTGCTGGTTCCACTCATTTCTTTATACTTGTCTATGTTGACGACTTGGTCTTTGCTTCAGCAGACAGGGCAGCTCTGGCTGAGGTGAAATCCGAAGTGCAGAAGAGACACACGTGCACTGACCTCGATGAACTGCGCCGCTACCTTGGCCTGCAGATCACCAGGGACAGATCCGCTCGCAACATCATGTTGACGCAGTCACACATGGTGCAGCAGGTCCTTCACCGGTTCGAGTTTCGATTCTCCACCACTCAGCCCACTCCTCTTACTGTTGACCACAAACTGACTGGCCCTTTCCCGACAAGCCCTTTGAGTCCAATGGTCCCTACGCAAAGCTTGTGGGCTGCCTCATTTACCTGATGACCTGTACTCGGCCAGACCTCGCCTTTCCCCTCATCGTCCTCTCTCGCTTTGTTGTGACTGGGAGACAACGTCCTGTTCACTAGACAGCTGCTGTGAGGGTGGCGAAGTACCTGGCGACTACATCGGGCATGAGGTTTGTGCTTGGAGGGACGTAGCCAGTTGAGTTGACCAGTCACTGCGGCTCTTCCTACTCTAACGACGTGGAGACTCGGCGTTCGATTCAGGGTTACTGCTTCAGTCTGGACGCTGGTGCTGTGTCTTGGAGGTCTACACGGTCATCGTCTGTGGCTTCGTCGAGTGCGGAGGCAGAGATCTACGCTGGTGCCATGGCGGCACAGGAGCTTCGCTGGTTGACCTACTTGCTCGCCGACCTCGGTGAGCGGCCTCGCTCTGCACCGACCTTGTACGCCAACAACAAGGCCATGATCCTCCTGTGTCGAGAGCCTCGACTAGGGAGCAGAGTGAAGCATTTTGACGTGAGGTATTTTCTCATGTGTTGGAATAACCAAAAGGTTATCATAAACATTCCCGAAGGTTCCCCACTCTCGCGTCACTCCATAACAAAGTGTACGCCTATACTAGTACCGCAATAGCTCATATAGAGCACGCGGAAGTCCGAGGGTCACCCGAAGGTCAACGGTCGAAGACAGTCAACAGTCGTGACCCTTGACTGTCCAGAAACCGCACGAGGCAGTTACGAAGTGGAACATGGTAACTGTCTAGAATAGCAATAGTCGTGGGTTACTGTAGCAATGCAATACAGTTAATAAGGGAATGTACCCCTCAGAGTACATGGCTAGCTAGGAATGCTATTTATATCCTTGTACTCCTACCTTATAATTCATCTTGTTCTCTTTCAATCAATTAACAAGGTCATTACTGAGACTTCACAGTTCTCTTTTACACTTGGCAACTTTATCCTATCCACTTCGATCCTTCAGTTATATCAGCATGGTATGAGAGCTAGAGTGGATTATAAGGCTTGCCAAGCTCTTGTTCTTGACAGAACAATCTCTCTAAAAATTATTCATTACATCATTAAGGACTCTGCATCACTATGGCTCCAGAAAGAAAAGCCACTACAGACTACCCGGGCCCACCATCAGCAACATCCCCCACTGCACCATCAGCGGTGACCTCCGTCAGCGCCGCTCTCGTTGAGCAGTTGGTCGCTCGCATCAACGCCCTTGAGAGCCATCAAGCGATGAGCGTCGATGGCTCAAGCTATGCACGTGGAGTTGCTGGACTCCCTCTCCCAGGAGAAGACCGCCGCGTCAACTCCGAGAGGTCATTCACGTTTGACAATAGTCAAGCTTCAGCTCCTGCGCAAGACAGTCAACAACGCGCACATTCAGATACAATTGCAACAATGCAGACAAAATTTGTTCTGACCTCAAAGCTGAAGA